GGGGGGTCGGGGATGAAGTGGGTCGTGACATAAACATGTAGCTTGATGGCGTAAGAATGGTCAATTCATTAAACTGATTATAGAGAACCACGTTTTTTTTTAAACATTAGGAACTGTGATGATAGAATGCATTTGGGGTCGTGATATAAAAATTTACCCTGATGGCCATGGGACCGTCTTCTGGAAGATCCGGAACATCCGGAAAGTGGACAATCCACGAAACTGATTCTAGAGCTCCGCGGTTTTTTTTTTAATATTAGGAACTGCGATGATATAATGAATTTGGGGACATAAAAATGGACCCATATGGCCATCGGACCCGGATGGAAGACCTGGAACATCCGAAAAATCGTCAATCTATGAAACTGATCCTAGAGCTCCACGGTTTTTTCGAAAGCATTTGGAACTGTGATATAAGAAATAATTTGGAGTCATGACATAAACATGGACCTGGATTCTCTGGTAGTTCCTGAACATCCTTAAAAAAGGTCAATTCATGAAACTGATCCACGTTTTTTTTTCAAAAACATTACGAACTGTGATATAAGAATGAATCACAAGGGTCGTGACATAACAATAAACCTGGATGACAATTGGACTGTCCTCCAGAAGATTCGGAACATCCGTAAAAGTGGTTTATCCATGAAACTGTAAAAAAACGCGTATTTTTTCGCAAGCTCTTGGAACTGTGATATAAGATAGAATTTAGGGGCGTGACATAAACATGGACCATGGATGGCTATGGGACTATCCTTCGAAAGATCCGAAACATCCGTAAATTGAAACTGTGATATGATACAGAATGTTAGGTCGTCACGTAAAAATGAATTCAGATGGCCATGGGACCATTAAGGTCCATGTTTATGTCAAACCCCAAATTCATTCTTATATCAAAGTTCCTAATATTTTTGAAAAGAAAAACTGCAGAGCTCATGGATCAGTTTCATGGATTTACCACTTTTACAGTTGTTCCAGATCTTCCTGAAGACGGTCCCATGGCCATCCAGGTCCATGTTTTCGTCACGAACTTATTTGTTATTACTTCACAGTTCCAAGTGTTTAAAAATAAAACGCTGAGCTCTACACTAATAAAATAATGTTTTTATGTGTTCCATACATGAATTTTTGTAATGTGATCAACAAATGATCTCTATGTGTCGGACACATACTTGATATGTGTACACATAAAAGCCATGTGTGACCACACATACTATTAATTTGACTCGTAAATTGCATGTGTACTTCTGAGTGGATTCTGTTTATGTGTGGTAACATAAAAATCATGTGGAGTTTCTCATGGAAATTCGCCAATAAAAATGTGTGGAATTTTGTGAGTGTAGGATCAGTTTCATGGATTGACCATTTTTCGGAAGTTTCGGATCTTCAGGAGGATGGTCCCTTGGCATCCGGGTCCATGTTAATGTCACTACCCTAAATTCTGGCTTATATCTCAGTTCCAAGTGTTAAAAAAAAACTGTGGACGGTTCCATAGTCATCCGTGTCCATGTTTCTTTTTTATATTACAGTACCACGTGTTTTCGAAAAAACTGCGCAGCTCTAGGATCAGTTTCATGGATGAACTACTTTTATGGATGTTCCGGAGAACCGTTCCGTTCCATATATAGGAACCATGAATGTATTCTCGCTAATTATGAACATTTGTGCCCATTAATCTAGATTATAGATCTTAAGCCACTTGCAAAACCCAACACACATTTAAAAAAACGTGTACGACTCTTTTAGCTTTTAAAAAAAGTACTAGACCCTATTTTCAATTTTTTTTACATTCAAAATAATCTACAGACCCTAGGAACTCTAGAGGTACTACAATTTTAGAAATTCATCAAGAAATGGCTAAGGTATGCCATTGCAAACCTGCCGTTATACGTTTTTCGGAGGCATCGTATTCGGAGTGTTAACACGGGTTTGGGTTGGGTTTCGGTTCTGAAAAACCAAAACCTGATCATCATTAATTAGGAATTCTGAGAAGTTCTGAGGCGAACTTAAGGAAACTTTTGCGGGGAACTTCAGGGAAGTTTTGCGAAGATCTTTGGGGAAGTTTTGAGAGGAACTTCAGGGAAGTTCTGCGAACTTCAAAGAGATTCTGCGAGCTTTAAAGCTGTTGTGCGAGCTTCAGAGCAATTCTGCAAACTTCAGAGCAGTTCTGTGAACTTCAGAGCAGTTCTGTTGCTTCCATTCACTAAAAAAATGTTTTTGGGGATTATGAAATCATTAGATGTTATAATGTTATGCTGTAAGATACAATAAAACGTTGTAAAGCATGTGTTTAACTAATAAAACCTGTCAATTTCGCTATCAAAGTATCACAATAAGCGATTTTACGATTTGTGACCGTTTACTCAGAGTGATTGTGATACTCTGAAAGCAAAATTGACATATTTTATGTGTCAAACATATACCGTGGACCCCCAGTAATATGACCGGTTTTAATCTGAACACTTTTTAATTTGAACCCCGCTTATCTGCACGGCGTGCAAACTAAAAATTGCCTAAACGTCATTTTGCACATGGAACGGAGTAAAGGGAAATGGAACATTGGAAAACGGAACGCAGAATCTAAACAAAACAGCAAAAAAGGCAACCAGAAACACGCTGATAGGGTTACTAGAAGTTCAAATTAAAAATGAACCCCGTTAATATGAATGAGGTGTCGTTCAGATTAGCGGGGATCCACGGTACTTTACAACCTCTTCTTGTGATTTACAACTACAGATTATCATTATAGCATCTAATGATTTCATAATTCCGAAAAACATTTTTTTAAAGCAAGTGAGTGGAAGGTTCTATGAACTTCAGAGCAGTTTTGTGAACTTCAGAGCAGGTCTGCGAACTACAGAGCAGGTCTGTAAATATCAGAGCAGGTGTGCAAAGCATGTCTGCGAATTTCAGTGTGAACCTCCTTGAAGGCCTAGAATTTTCCTGAAGCTTTCCAGAAACTTTGCATGATTTTCCTGAAATTCGTAGATTCCGCAGAAAGCCGCAGATTTTTCAGGAAGTTTACAGAATTATCCTGAAGTACGTAGAATATTTCAAATATTCACAAAACTTTTCTGACGTTCGTAGAATGTTCCTAAAGTTTGCAGACTTTCCCGAAGTTTTCAGATGTTTCCTGAAGTTCGCAGATTGTTTCAGGAGTTCCAAGAATTTTCGGGAAGTTCGTAGATGCCCTTGAAGTTCCCAGAATTTTCCTAAAATAAGCAGACTTTACTGAAATTTGCATAATTTGTATGATGTTCATAGAATTTTCCTGAACTTCGTAAAAATTTTTAAAGCTTCCTAAAAGTTTGCAGAACATTCCAGAAGTTCACAAAATTTTCTTAAAGATAGCCAAATTTTCCTTAAGTTGGGGTTTCGGATGCTCAACAATTTTTCTTAATTCAGCAAAACTTTCTAAAAATGCACAGAATTATCCAGAAATTTGCTAATATCCTTGAAGTTCCCAAAATTCTTGAAGCTCACAAACCTTTCCGAAAGTTCGCAGAATTTTCTTGAAGTACGCAGACTTTCCTGAAAGCCGCAGAATATACCTGAAGCTTGTATATTTTTTCTGAAACTCGCTGAGTTTTTTGTAGTTTTGTAGTTTTGAAGTTTGTAGAAGTTCCTTAAGTTCGCAGAATTTTACTGAAGTTTGCAGACTTTTCTGAAGTTTGAAGAATTTTTGTAATGTTCACAAATTTTCCTGAAGACCGCAGAATTTTCCTGAAGGTCATAGAATTTTTCTGAAGCTCGCAAAACTTTCCAGAAGTTCACAGAAGTTTCCTGAAGCTGGCAGAAATTTCGTAATGTTCGCCGACCTCCCTGGAGTTCAAAGAATGTTCCTAAAGTTTTCAAAATCTTCGTGAAGTTCGCAGAATTTTATTAAAATTTGCAACATCCTGCAGAGTTTTGCTGAAGTTCGAAGAATTATGCTGAAGTTCACTGAATTCCCTGAAGTTTGCAAAACTTTGCAAAGTTTTCAGAATTTTCGCAGAATTTTCCTTAAGTTGGCTGATTTTTCAGATCCTCAATATTTTTTCCTCGATTTTTTTCCTTAATTCAGCAATACATTCTAGAAGTGCACAGAATTATCCTGAAATTCACAAACTTCCTTGAAGTTCCCAAAATTCATCAAGCCTGAAGTACACAAACTTCCCTGAAAGCCGCAAAATTTTCCTGAAGTTCGTAATTTTTTTCTTGTACGTAGTACGTTGAATTTTCTTGTAGTTTGCTTGATGTTATCCTGAAGTTCATAGACTTTGTGTAAATTTTGCAGATTTATTTTAATATCTTAAAGCTTTCCAGAAGAACGCAGAAATTTTCTCAAAGTCGCAAAATTTTCAGAAGTTCCAAGAATATTTCTGAAGTTCTCAAAATCTCGATGAAGTACGTAGATTTTTTTGTAGTTTGCTCTAAGTTATCCTGAAGTTCGTAGAGTTTGTTCGATTTCCGAAGATTTTTTTAAGCTTTCAAAACTTTCCAGATGTACGCAGAAGTTTTCGCAAAGTCGAAAAATTTCCTGAAGTTTGCAGACATTTATGATGTTTGTGTTATGATGTTATAATTTCTTAAATTTGCAGAATTTTTCAAAAGTTCATAGATTTTTTTGAAGTTTGTATAATTTTTCTTCAAAGCATTGCAGAAGTTCTCAGATTTGGCCTGAGGTTGACAGATTTTGTCTGAAGTTTGTAGACCTAGGAAGCTCTTTAATTTTCCTGAAATGCTCAGAATTTTCCTGAAGTACGAAGAATTTTGCTGAAGTTCGCAGACTTTATTCCTATTAATTTGATTGGCTTGTTGGTTTTGTTTATGTAATCGTTTAAATAAACGTATATCATTCGTTACTTTTTCATTGATTCGACTTTATTATTATTTCTGTTTCAACCGTTTTCAGGTATTTAGGTCATGGAATGAGTCACTTTGCTCTGTCTCGTTTATTCCGAATGGGCGTTTCAACCGTACGGGAAATCACCCAGGAAGTCACGAGAGTGATATGGGAGGTAATGTCTGGTACATATTTACCAATGCTGAGTGAAGCCTCTTGGAAGGAATGCAGCGATGATTTTTTTGATCGCTGGAATTTTCCGAATTGCTGTGGCGCCGTCGACGGGAAGCATGTGGTTATTCAATGCCCACAGAACGCTGGTTCACTATTTTACAACTATAAAAAACAGCATTCAATCGTTTTGTTGGCAATTTGTGACGCCAATTACAACTACTTGGCAGTTGACATAGGTGCGTACGGTGGAAACTCTGATAGCAGTATATTTGCGTCAAGTGAGTTTGGAAAACTTTTGTTATCAGGCAGACTGGGATTTCCTCCGCCAACTAACTTGCCAAACAGCACCATAGAGCTGCCTTATTTCATTGTTGGAGATGCAGCTTTCCCTCTCAGATCAAACATCATGAGACCCTTCCCAGGAAGAAATCTACAGGAAATACAAGAAAATTTCAACCATAGACTTTCTGTTGCACGCCGCACGATAGAAAATACATTTGGCATCACCGTCGCTAGATGGAGGATTTTGAAGTCACCATTGTGTATGTTACCAGAGTCAGCGGAAAATATTGTTAAGGCAGTAGTGGTGTTGCACAATTTTCTGAAAAAACACGGTGAGCAACAGTACACTCCACCAGGATTCACGGATACGATCGACACTGTTGGAAACTTGGTCCAGGGCGAATGGCGCACGCTTACTGATCCTCTACAAAGTGTTCCAGCTGATTCTATTAGTCGAGGACATAATGCTTCTCGAAATGCATTTCAAATACGTAATATTCTAGCACAGTATGTGTTGGATAATCCTCGTTACGGACTCAATGGTTGATCAAATCAAGCTACACTAACTGAAAGGGACTTTTTCTTTTTTTTTTAATAATAACAATAATCAGTAACACTTTTTTGACAATTCTAAAATAAGTTGCCGTATATACAATTTTTGCCAGTGGTCAATATTTGGCAGCAGTAAGTTGGAATTTATTAACCAATCATCTTCCCTTTCAGTTACCGAACGTTTTAGATTAGTGTATAAGTAATTTTGTAAGAGAAAGGAATTCTGTAAATTTCACCAGAAATAAAAATAATAACCGTCAATAAATTTAAAAATATGTATATACATTTAGCTTCGTAAACTTATTATACTTTGTTATGGACTCAATAAAAGATCAAATCAAACAAAGTAATTTTGTAAAAGAGAAAGAAAATAGATAAAAATTTCAAAAGTAATAAGCATAGGTCATTCTATTGGTATATAAAGCAAAAACAAATTGAAAATTGAGCAACGTTTTTCATGTTGAGATATCAAATATTGATTAAATTGTAAAAAACATGCAATATTATGTGTATTATATGTATATTAAGGTAGGTCAACTTTATAACCCACTGATCCCCACTGCTCATTCGATTTGTATTGAGGTCCCCAACAACTATGCCAAATTAGAATGAATTATTTTATGATCTATAAATGTGTGAGAATTTTAAATTATGTGTGCAAAAATGTAAAGGAAATGGAACATCATTGTTTGAGCATTGAATCGGTAAAAAACGAATTAAATTTTTCTCCCGTACAACAATTTAGCAATAAATTTTAATTTTCTCGAAATTCAACAGTAAAACTTATTGAAATTCCGTGGTTTTATTACAATTATTTTTTTTTTGACAGAGATTTAGAAAAAAAAATATGCAGTACAACTTTGTCGAAGATTGCAAATCGATTCGACTTCTGTTGAAAAGGTTATTAAGGTGATTCGCGGTGCATCCTTATTCTCGTAACCACTTTAAGTGCACAAAACTCGAAACTTTAAGTGCACAAATATAAGATTCTACGACACGTGCAATATTCAAATTGTTACTCCACGTTTGCTGCACTGCAGCATACATGAAGTAACAATTTCAGGTGAAATGGAGCATCGATTTCCGAGATTTGTGTTATTGAAAACTCGAAGTGGTAGTGCATGTATAGCCACATGGTGGCCATTTGTGGGCTCTACAAGAAATCACCTTAAACATTTACCAACTAGGTATGAGCTCTAGGCCTATAGTAAAAAAATAACAACTTTTTGCCCAGAAGTCGAATCAATTTGCGGTTTTGGACAATGTTGTTTTGCATAGTTTTTCCAATCTAAGTCTCAAATGTGGTAAAAATTGAGCAATTTTTGAATTTTTGACAAGTGCACGGCCACTCAAAGAGAGAGAGAGTCACTTGTACTCAGAGGCATGGAGAAGTTTCTAAAAATTGGCCACGTAAATTCCACAGCGATACACTTTAAAGTCTGTCTATGTAAGCCACCAATGCTATCGGATAGAAAAACTTTCACCCTACTCGTCGTGGTGGGTTGATTGAACAAGTTTTATTCGGGAGACATTTTTGTTTAGGTTTACTTAGAATATCTTATGTACCTACATGAAAATGAATCAAATCGATCTCATGAATCTATTGAGACGTGCTTTGTTAATGATGACTCTATCCTAAGTGAGGTTTAACAGAAGATCAGAACTCAAAGACGAGATACATGGAGATACATAAAAACGAATCAGCTGCAATCAGCATAAGATCCATGAATTTGTCGGGATTTATATGTGGTATTTTGTTTGGCTTTCATTTCCAAGTTGTGAATAATTTTATTACACTGATAACCATCGTTTAATGTATTGCCACAGACAAACAGACGTAACTCTTCATTGTTTATCTTCGTTCACGCATTTAACGGTTGATTTGAATATTATCAGTTTCGCGAACTACTCGCCGCAGAGCTAGCATCGGATCACTTTGACGTTTCTATACATTCTATAGAACTTTCATGCAATATTGTTTGCGAGTTAGGGAGCAAGCTTGTTTTCCGCGAGAAGCCTGAGAGATGTCGTTACTGAGGTCCTATGTTTTGAGATACTATGTTTTCAAGAAAAACTTTTTCAAAGAGTTACGTCTGTTTGTCTGTGGTATTGCTTTATTCATTGGAATAAACATCAAGCACTTCGTTTACTCGTGCAGTAAACTCAACTTCCAATTCACGTGCCACTTTCATTGGCAACGAGGACATGCGTTGCCCAAGATAATTACAGAAATCTTTGTGCCTGTTTGTTTGGTCCACTTGCATGGACGTGGCAACGTCTCCAACGATGTTCAATATACCATGGATTTTTTCATCCAGGTCGTCCGATCTCTTCTTCCTCTTCGCTGGTGTCGATGATACCATTGTTGGAGTGCTGTTCTCAACATCGTCTAACTCCTCAACGTCAATATATTCCGGGGCAGTCATGTTTTGCTCTTGGGTGTCTGGCTCGGAATCTCCTTCTGTTGGCTGGGGATCAACCCTGTAGTTGCTGGTAGTGCTGAAATATTGAAATCATGTTAAATTACTTTTATATATTTTGAAATTTGTTTTCGCTACCTTCTGCGTTTGCAGTGGCTGGATAGAAATGATAGCTCGTTGTATAAGCACCATTTTGGTTGATGCACCTGCGAGCTGCCTGCTCCGGAAGTCGCTGTCTGCTCAACCTTCCGCAACTCCTTGAGGTACCGGTCACGCAAATTTTTCCATTTTTTTTTGGCTTCATCGACTGAAAGGTAAGAAAAACAAATTATAACCGGGAATGACAAAAACAAATTGTCGATCAGTTATTAAAAAGTTATTACACAAGTTAAAAAAAGTTATTCAACAGGTTGATTTAATCAGCCTAGCAACTTACTCGGTATTTTAACTTCGTTGCTGACAGCCATCCAAAGATTCTCCTTTTTTCCAGCATTCTGGTACGCCTTGTCACTTTTCGCATATAGGGCCGGGTATTTCTTAACTACTCCGATAAAAAAATAGTTAACATATTCCTCTTCCGTAATCTCATGGATAGAATCCATTTTCTGAAATTCCGATTCGATTCAAACACACAATTGTTTTGGTTTGCGCTTTGCCGTGCCGCGTTTTATCAAAATTTTGAAAAAAAACGCGTTTTAGTACAATGCCGCTTTTGCCGCAACGCGCTCATTGTGGGTTGTCAAACGGATTTCAGTGTATTGGAAAATTTGCGCTTGCCGCTATGCCGCTATGCCGCTATCATTGTGTTCAGCCCTTTACACTCTTTTATGACTCCTAAATAATCATTGTACAGCAAGCGGTGAAAAGCGTTTATAACACTTTTCAATGACTCCTTAACAACCGGATAGAAGCAACTTTTATACAACGTTTATAGATACATATTTAAACTCAAGCTTTATTGTTTTGGTGAAAGCTCTTATACAACGTTTGTAGACACTTCCTGACAGCTACTTTGAAATTTAGTAGAGAGGAAACCTGAGAGGCGTTTGTTACACTCTTTTATGACTCCTAAGTAATCATTGTACAGCAAGCGGTGAAAAGCGTTTATAACACTTTTCAATGACTCCTTAACAACCGGATAGAAGCAACTTTTATACAACGTTTATAGATACATATTTAAACTCAAGCTTTATTATTTTGGTGAAAGCTCGTATACAACGTTTGTAGACACTTCTTGACAGCTGCTTTGAAATTTAGTAGAGAGTAAACCTGAGAGGCGTTTGTTGCACTCTTTTATGACTCCTAAATAATCATTGTACAGCAAGCGGTGAAAAGCGTTTATAGCACTTTTCAATGACTCCTTAACAACCGGATAGAAGCAACTTTTATACAACGTTTATAGACACATATTTAAACTCAAGCTTTATTATTTTGGTGAAAGCTCTTATACAACGTTTGTAGACACTTCTTGACAGCTGCTTTGAAATTTAGTAGATAGTAAACCTGAGAGGCGTTTGTTGCACTCTTTTATGACTCCTAAATAATCATTGTACAGCAAGCGGTGAAAAGCGTTTATAACACTTTTCAATGACTCTTTAACAACCGGATAGAAGCAACTTTTATACAACGTTTATAGATACATATTTAAACTCAAGCTTTATTATTTTGGTGAAAGCTCTTATACAACGTTTGTAGACACTTCTTGACAGCTGCTTTGAAATTTAGTAGATAGTAAACCTGAGAGGCGTTTGTTGCACTCTTTTATGACTCCTAAATAATCATTGTACAGCAAGCGGTGAAAAGCGTTTATAGCACTTTTCAATGACTCCTTAACAACCGGATAGAAGCAACTTTTATACAACGTTTATAGATACATATTTAAACTCAAGCTTTATTGTTTTGGTGAAAGCTCTTATACAACGTTTGTAGACACTTCCTGACAGCTACTTTGAAATTTAGTAGAGAGGAAACCTGAGAGGCGTTTGTTACACTCTTTTATGACTCCTAAATAATCATTGTACAGCAAGCGGTGAAAAGCGTTTATAACACTTTTCAATGACTCCTTAACAACCGGATAGAAGCAACTTTTATACAACGTTTATAGATACATATTTAAACTCAAGCTTTATTGTTTTGGTGAAAGCTCTTATACAACGTTTGTAGACACTTCCTGACAGCTACTTTGAAATTTAGTAGAGAGGAAACCTGAGAGGCGTTTGTTACACTCTTTTATGACTCCTAAATAATCATTGTACAGCAAGCGGTGAAAAGCGTTTATAACACTTTTCAATGACTCCTTAACAACCGGATAGAAGCAACTTTTATACAACGTTTATAGATACATATTTAAACTCAAACTTTATTATTTTGGTGAAAGCTCGTATACAACGTTTGTAGACACTTCTTGACAGCTGCTTTGAAATTTAGTAGATAGTAAACCTGAGAGGCGTTTGTTGCACTCTTTTATGACTCCTAAATAATCATTGTACAGCAAGCGGTGAAAAGCGTTTATAGCACTTTTCAATGACTCCTTAACAACCGGATAGAAGCAACTTTTATACAACGTTTATAGATA